CACAATAAGGAAGCGGAGAGAGGTGAACACTAGTGCACAACCTTATCCCTTTTCATTAGGCTTGAGACACGAGTCCATGGAATGCTGTATTTAGAGTGGGTTTCTCCCACCTTAATTCATCTAATATAGAAACACCCTCACAAACATGACCAAAGCTTTGTGTACTAGGGGACTCCAGGACCCATCAAGTTGGCAGTATCAACTGTTACACAAGCTTGAGTTTTGTGTGTGAGGTGTGAGGCTTTTTAGAGTTTTGTTTCTTTCTGGGCATGGAACCAAGGGCCCTGAATATGTTAGGCAAATATCTTCCACTAAACCTCATTCCCATCTCTACATGTTTGAGAAACAAACTTCTAAAGAAAGGCTGGAGGTGTGTAGCTCAGTGGTATGACATTTGCCTAGCATGTAAGGCTCTCCCATGTTTTAAAGTTTAGGAGTTGTATGTTATGTATCATGACTAAAATGAATATAAGCAAAATTCTCATGAAGTCTTCTGACATGCCTCATCGTTGTATATGTCTCATTAATGGAAAGCAGAGGTGAGGATGGGAGGAGAAAGCATGTTATTTCAGTTGAGTGACTACCGTCTGCTCCATGTCAATGCCTGCTACCAATAATGCAACCAATCATGTGCTGTACTGATTGTTCTTAAGTAATTCTAAAATGATGACAGAAATTAAATTGACAAATGTCTACAGATATAGTCACCCACTCCCATGTGTAAGGAGTACAGTTATCTGCAGCATGCAGTCCATGTACAATGCTGAGCAAAACACTGTGGTCTTCAGAGAGCTTGTGCATTCCCACATCTTGTCTTCCCATTGCCTTTCTGGTTTTTCTGAGTGCAAAGGTTAAGGATGCCTACGCTCTTGATGCATGTTATTTTTAGATTGGCTCAGGATTCTCCTGGAATATATGTTTCAGTCAATGTCTTTATAAACATGCAGAATTCAGAGTAGTATGGTTTACCTTTTGTTTGCCAATAATTTTTATGATGTACATGATTTAACTTTAAGGTTGAGAGAAAGAATTAAGATAAAAATAAAAAAAGAAATGGTAGAATAACTTGAAAGGTGCTTCCCTGACAATATAAAAAGAATGAAGGGATGAAGGGCAAAGCAGAGCTACACCAGGAAGCAATTGTAATGTAGAAAAGGGTAAAAGAGAATTCAGGAAGTTTTAAGAGTGTCTTTTCCTTAAATAGATCGGGTAAATGTTTAAAAGGCCAGATGAAAAATTAGTTGTTCTCTAGGACATACTGTTTTCTGCAACTCAAAGAAGACAGAGGAGTCTCTAAAGGGAGGAATTACACTAACAAAGTAAGTTCCTCTCCAAAATACATCAGGCCCAGTGATTCGAAGACCAGCACTGGGTATTGAAACAGAAGAATGAAATGCAGGAGGTGTTTTCAAAACACATCAAAAGATGGAACACTTTCACATTTTTAAAATCAGTTGTTCTAGTTACATTTCTGTTGCTGTGATAAGCACCACAGCCAGTAGCAACTTAGGGAGGAAAGTGTTTATTTCAGCACATACATCCAGGTCACAGACCATCACTAGAAGTCACCACAGGAGAGCAAGCAGGAAGTTCATTTCTTCATGGCGGAGAATGCTTACTAGCTTGCTCTCTGGTTCAAGCTCAACTAGCTTATTTCATACAGCCCAGACCCACCTGCCTAGGAGTAGGTCTACCCATAGTGGGTTGGGCCCACCTACATCAATCTTTAATCAGCACAGTCTCTCACAGACACGCCCACAGTCCAGCCTGATCTGAGCAGTTCCTCCATTGAGTTTTTCTCTTTTCAGGTGATTCTTCAGTGTATCAAGTTAAGGATAAAATCAGCACATTGATAAATATAACACTGGGCACTTAGAATCAAAAAACAATGGTGCCAGAAAGCAAATGTCGGTCTCTAGAAGGTTGATGGCAAAATTCTAAAAAGAAAAGAAAATAGAGGAATTCAGCAGAAAGTAAATGCAGAGTGGTGTTTGCTCAGAAGACAGTGGGGCAAAATTGAATACTTTTAAACATTGTTGATGAATTTATAATGCTGAGTTTACATCATAGTGGGTACTTATTAGGTGAGGCAGTAAAGTATCACATTAAAGCAGGATGTGGAATCTCATCAGTTGTTTTTAGGCCCAAACAAAGACTGTTAGCAGCACCAGATGTGAAAGGGGAGCATAGCGTTGGCTCTGTTGCTTTTGCACAATGGTTTTGTTTTATTTAGGGGCTTCAGATTTCCTTTTTAAAATTGTCTCCCACCCACCTTGACCCTTGATATTTTTATTACTCAAAAAAAGTAGGGGGCATTATTGCTTGAAAAAAATAAAGCACCCCCAGTCCTAACAATTTCTAACTCTTCCAGGCTGTAATGTTCTTCTTATTAAAGTAGCCAGGGCAGTGGTGCAAATGTATAATTCTGGTGCTTGGGAGACTCAAACAGGAAACTGCACACTTGAGGATGGTCAGGGTTACATAGAGACCTTATCTGTGGAAGAGAAATGGTGCAGATGACAACAGAACAGAAGAAAGTAAGCAGAGAGGTTTCTGTGTGTGCATGCATGAGCTAGCAGCAGGGCACTAGGAGCACTGGAGAAAAATTACTAAGCAGGCAGTACCAGCGTTTCTTTTTTTAAACAATTAAAAAATTAAGATTATAATAACATTTCCCTGTTTTATTTCCTCCCTCTAATCCCTCCCAAGTGCCCTGCCTGGTCTTTGCTCTCTTTCAAATTCAAGACCTCTTTTTCTTTAATTGTTGTTGGTGTTGGTGATGGTGGTGTTTTTTCCTAAATACATAAATATCACCTGCTCAATCTGTACTTTCATGCGAATGTTTTCATGGCTGACTGTTTGGCATTGGATAACCAGCTGGTGTGCTCTTCCCTGGGGAAAACTTTCTCTTCCTCCCAGCATCCATCAGTTGCCTGCAGTTCTTTGTGTAGGGTTGAGACTTTGTGAGCCTCTGCCCCTGTCCACAGTAGCCTGCCTATTGGTGTCACCCTTGTTCTGAAATTTCAGAAGCTAACCATGAAGTCTCTGCCTAAACATGTCCTGAGCAAAAGTCAGTGTTTTAGTAACTAGAAACCAGGTGAAAGATCACCGGTATGGCTTATTTAATCACATCCAGATGACTATGGTGGCAGTGCCACTCCTCCAGTTTAAATGCCCCTGTACAGTCACAGAGGAGTTTAGTTTCAATGTCTGCATGGCAACTGATTACTAAGTTCCATGTATGGTTTGATGATGGAAGCTTCATTTCCGGTTACATGTGTATTGCCATCAGACATTGACACCAGATTTCCATACATTGACATCAGATTTCCATTTGAAGGTGACTATAGCTTTCTTTCAAAATTGGTTGCATATAAAATTGAACATTTTTTTGTTTGAGACAGTAGTGTCCTCAAACACCATGTACAGCTGAAGATGACCTTGAACTTGTGATCCTACTAAGTGCTGGGATTAAAGTGTGAGCCTCTTACTCCAGCAGGAAGCATTCTAAAAAGTGACTGTAGTAAAGCTAGGTGATTTTTTACAATAGTCTAAGGTAGTGTCTTGCAGTTGGATATGACAGAGCAGCCCTAGTGCTAGGTAATTGTTTAAATAGAATAAATTTAGTTTTCAGCATGCCTGAGCTTTGTTTCAAATCATAATTTCATGGTTTCCTAAAAATGATTTCATTTCTTACATTCTTTGCAATTTGTGATAAATATTTCAACTTAAAGGTTCCAAGATATTAAATTAAAAAACAATTTACTCTGCTCATTCTGGTAATGCCATAACTGTCCCAAGCCTTTCCCTGGTGTCCTACCTTTTATACCAAGTTGCCAAAAGTAATAGGATCTGCTCTCAGCAGGAGTGTCTAGCCAATCAAAATAAAATCTCTCTTGCAGACTCCTACAAGGGGTTGGCTAGCTTTGAGTGTAATTAACAGGAGATGGTGAGACATTGTTTTTCAGACACAGGAGAGGATAGTTTTCTTAACTCTAAAGTAAGTTCTGGAGTATTTTCAATCCCAAGAAGAAAACATAAATGAGGATGGATGGTCACTTCTCACTTGGGTCAAAGGTTTCCCTTACTGTACCACAACACATTTAAAAACATTTGTTATATCATTTTGTGTCTGTATGGGTGGGTATATGTTTGTCTGTCCATACGTGCATGTGTCAGGGCCCTGGAGGCAGAGGTGTGGAGCTGAAATCGTAGGTGGCTGCAAGATGCTTGATATGGGTGCTGGGATTTGAACTTGAATCTGCTGCAAATGCATTAAGCATTCTTAACTGCTGAGCCATCTCTCCAGCCCAAATATTTTTAAAGAAACCCCGTTTGTCTAATACTGCATTAAAATAATTCTTGCATGCATTTCTTGGGTCATGATGATAAGACATGGAAGCAGGGTTGGCTTTACTTTTGAATATTTACTTGTTTTACAGTACGGGGGCATGGTGTTATTTAGCCCAAATAGTGAAGATGTCTGAGGTCAAGAGAAATCCCTTAATTTCTTTGGTATTTGAATTTGGGAAGTGACAACAATGGCAGTGGGGTAGCTAGTTGTTGGAATGGCTTTCTGGGTAGGCTGCATGTGTGCCTGGTCCTCAGCCCCCAGAGCCTGCTCCTGCCGCTGCCCTATTTGCAGGCAGAGTGGGGCTGCTACTTACTGCTTTGCTTTGTTCATGATTGATTTTTGTTGTTGTTTTGTGGGAGCATAAGCTACAAATGATACTTGAAATCCTGAGGCAGTGTAGTTCACAAACAGTGGGCTCTGTTTAGGAGAAACGAAGGATTAGTGCCTGTTTGAGGATGCCTTTGCCATTTGACCCTGGGTAGCAGTTGATGGATTACACACATGTCTCCACCATCTTCTGGGTGGATTTAAACACATGACTTTAAAATGATGGAGAGACCTGATTCTGTTCACAGTAGTTAAAATGTTTAAGTATCTATAATGCTTTGCCAGCAGGTGAACTCATACCGCTCTCATTTCCTTCCAGATTCATGAAAAGCTTCACTACTATGAGAAGCAGAGCCCGGTGCCCATTCTCCATGGTGCGGCAGCCTTGGCTGATGATGTAAGTGTGCCTTTCTGGGTTTGTAGGATGTATCAGCCACGGACCTGTCCCAAGTGGGACCCGCCCTTAGCAGACAGATGTTTGTGATCCTTTGAGTGAAAACTAGAAGTCACAAATGTTTCCCAAATCGCTGTCATCGCCAAGCTTGTGCTGATGCTGTGTGGGTTTCTATCCACTTTCTTTTTCTAAAATTGTGCATCAAGCTACCCTGGTATTATGCCTTAGTGGCTATGCAATAGAAATTGTAGGCTTCAAAGTCTATGCAGAGAAAAACTGTCTGGCATCAGTGCTCTGTGAAAGTCACACAAGGGGAATTCTTTGGAGAAATAAAGACAAATGAGATAGTCACATTGCTGACAGTACCAAAAATGACAGAATCTAGAATAGGAATTGGGCATATTAAACCCATAAAAGGCAGGATTGTTTTTAAAATGGATTATGGAGTATAGTAATGATTTATGGATATTAGACCATTCCAAATTACCTTCATAACCAAAAAATAAATTTTAGAAACATTTGGCATTGATGGAGTAGTTAATTTCCTGTCGCTATAATTTTATTTTAAGCCTGGGGAAGGAGAACTCACTTGCTGATTCCTACTGTTAACTTTCAGCCTCGGATGAATTGAGAACACACCTGGATAAACTGTAAGGACGTAGAGTGAGACAAGAGTGTACTGGTGTGTGGGAGGGATTGCTCTAGCTTATTTGTTGCTCTTCAGTTGTGAAACAGTCGCTCATTGTTGAAGAATGTCTGGGCCTCAGTATAATAAACAGATCAACCATCTTCCAAAGTTGATTTTATATCATAATATGTAAAATAAAGCCCCTCTAATGAACATCCCAGTTGAGGGCTGAGTAGCCCCAGGCGTGTCCCTTTTGTGTTTCTTTGCAGACATGAATGTGTTTTAGCACATGTTCTATAAAGAAGTGTACTTGTGCACCACAAACTTGTTTTTAGGAACATTCTTCTTTTACATATAAATCCCCCCTTCCTTCTCCCTCCCATTCTCCCATGCCCCCAACTAATCCCTCAACCCACCCACTCACCCATCTCCCAAGGATAGTGAGGCCTTCCATGGGGGATCACCAAAGACTGTCACATTATTTTGAGGAGGGTGTATCTGGGCTGAAATAGTAACCCTCTATAGGGAATGGGCTCCCAAAGTCCATTTGTGCACTAAGGATAAATACTGGTTCCACTGTGAGAGGTCCCATAGACTGTCCAGGCCTCCTAGCTGGCACCCACATTCACACGGCATGGTTCAGTCAATTGCTGCTTCCCCAGCTTTATGACTGGAGTCCCTGTGCTCTCTCACTAGGTCAGGTCAGCTGTTTATGTAGGTTTCTCTAGAACAGTCTTGACTCCTTTGCTCATCCCTCCTCCCTCTCTACAACCGGATTCCAGGAGTGTGGCTCAGTGCTTAGCTGTGGGTATCTGCTTCTGCTCCCATCAGTTACTGGATGAAGGCTCTAGGATGGCAATTAAGGTAGACATTAATTTCATTATAGGGTAAAGGCATCAAAGGCAGCCTCTCCACTACTGCCTAGATTCTTAGTTGGGGTCATCTTTGTGGATCTCTGAACATTTCCCTAGTGCCAGGTTTCTCTTTAAACCTATACTGGCTCCCTCTACTAAGGTATCTCTTTTCTAGACTTTTTAAAGGTGAATAAAGTATAAAGGTAGTTGTATGAGTTGCTGCAGTTGAAACTTGAAAGAGCCTTAGAAATCAGTATTTAAACACAGAGCATAGAGAGAGTTTAGAAATAACCTGTCTTGAAACTAATAGCAAAATAGAACACCTTTTAAATATTTATTTTTACCATTTTTATTTGTATGTGTGTTTGTGTGTGTGTGTGTGTGTGTGTGTGTGTGTGTGTGTGTGTGTGTGTGTGTGTGTGTACTAGAAGAGGGTATCTGATCCTCTGAGCAGGAGTTACAAGGAGTTTGAGCTGCCTGATGTGAGTGCTGGGGACCAAACTCAGGTCTTCTAGAAGAGCAACAGACACTCTTAACTGCTGAGCCTTCTCTCCAGACACCAATTTTGCTTTTGCTTGTTAAATGAAAAAGAATCCCAAGCAGGCATCAGAGTGTGTCACAAGCAGGCGAGATGCCATGGATTCAAGCTCCAGAACGTCCAGAAATAAACACAAATTAAAATCTGTGTAATTATGATAAACCATGGTGTTTAATTCACTGGAGTAGCAAATCTAAATGTTAAAACACGTAGATGTAGTGAGTAAAGAGCAGTTTTATAGGATAAAAATTATGTTAAAAATTTTTATATTGAAATAGAAGCTATTTTGTCGAGTATTTGATGAATCTGTCAATTTCCTCTGACTTTTACCTTCTGTATAGTCTATATATTGTACCTTTACAGAGAGCTCCTCTTGTAACCTTGTCCTGGCTGCATTGTGGGGACAAAAGGGACAGTGACAGTTCCATGTCATCTTCTAAGAAGAGATATTGAATATATATTATAATAACACACCATATATTCCATGATTCTAGTCTTTTTGTTCTGTTTGAAACTGTGTGTGTGTGTGTGTGTGTGTGTGTGTGTGTGTGTGTGTTTCTTATAGCCTAAAATTGACTAGAAATCTTGCTGGGAAGTTCTCTTTTGACATTTTGCCTTGTTCATAATTGTCAAATGGTAATTGTATATATTTATGGGAGGTGGTTTAGTACATTTGAATGCACATACACATTTCATAAGGATCAATCAAGGTAGTCTGCTTGTTTGCCACCTCAACATACTTCTTTATGATGAGAACATTACACACCCTTAGTGGAGAGCAAGAGTCAGGTTCAAAATTTCAGTCTTGTCTTTTGGACCAACAGGTAAGCATTCTCGATCATTACAATAAAGTAGCACTGGCATTATTGGTCCCAGAGTGGTTGCAGAATTGTTATGGGTTCATGATGAACTTGGCTCATATTTAATAGACTTTGTAGACTGTGTACAGAAACATAGTAAAAAGCTGCAGGCCATTGACTCTGTTAGGAGCAATCGAGTTCTTTTCACCATGGCTGTGAATAGCACAACTACTGAGGGTTTCTGGAAACCCAGAGGATTTCACCACCTCATTCAGAAGCTGTCTTTTTTGCTTTTTGTGTACACTGTCAAAGCTGATCCAGTCCCTTTTACAAATGGCCCTTTGTCTGTGTGCAGAAGACCATTCACACAGATGAAGTGCTGGGATTTGCCCTCCTGGCAGTAAGTCAGAAGGTGACCTAGCTGATGGGATTGCTGCAGTTGTACTCAGCCTAAGCTTAGACCTGGTCTGCTGTGGGCCTGGAAGGAAGAGTACGGGTTAATGGCCTGCTTAATTTCATGCTGATTTACCCTGTAGCTCTGGAAAGCAATAGCTTTGAGCAGACTACATTCAGTTGTGACACAGTGAACCTTCTGGTGTTTTGTGAACTGTTACTCACGTTTGTGTAATCTCCCCTACAGCTGGCTGAAGAGCTACAGAACAAGCCTCTGAGCAGTGAGATCAGAGAGCTGCTGAAACTTTTGTCAAAACCCAACGTGAAGGTGAGAACATGATGGGGGAAGTCCTGTGATTATGTCAATAAAGCACTGTTGGGCCAATAGGAATCTAGATAGGTGGGAATAGGAGTCCAGGAACTCTGGGAAGGAAAAACACAGAGAGTCAAGATGTAACGCTATGGGGTAGGAAGCCCAGAAACCTCTCCTGTAAGAGAAATACTTAGATTAACAATTATGGGGTAATTACTTAAATTAGAGCTAGCCAGTAAGAAACAAGCAAGGCCAACAGCTTCATAATTAATATAGCCTCCTGTGTGTTTATTTGGGACTGATGCGGCTCTGGAGCCAGGCTGGTGGGAAGGCTTCTCTCAAGGAAAAAGCTTCTCTTTACAAATGGTGTCAGAAGTGGGATTGAATTTCCACGTAGAATGACAAAAGATTTTAGGGAATTTTAGAAACAAAAGAACAGAAAAAAGCATGGGCTTTTTGGTAGCAGCATTTTTCTCAGGTGTGCTCTGTTTTGCTAGCAACAAGCCATGATTCACATGGCTCGCTCACCGGAGTCTTCCTGACTTGGCATAAAAAGAAAAAAAACCCAGCAAGGTCCTTTTAAGAGACTCTGCTAACAATTGAAAGGTGTGTAAGCACAGCTGGAAGTGGCAGTGACCACATCTCCAAGCCGACAGTTGGAGTCATGCTTACGCCCGCCATCTTGGAAAAACGACAGTTTAAACAGCTGCGGTTTTAACAGATAAGGCAAGTGGCCAGAAAAACATGCTGCACCCATAGTGTACACCTTCTCACAGGCTGCTCTCTTGGGTCTTGTGGGCGTTGCTTCATGCTTGCATCTTCAAGTCAGTGTTCATTCAAATAATATAGACTCCTGGCACCCCACACCATACGAAGGAAAAACCACTGAGCTTCTTCAAGATTATGATGTACTTAGCTGTACAGGAGTGAAATTGCAAGCAAGAATCAAAGTTAAAAAGTCTGATTAGCAGGGGGGCGGTGGTGGCGCACGCCTTTAATCCCAGCACTGGGGAGGCAGAGGCAGGCGGATCTCTGTGAGTTCGAGGCTGGGCTGTTCCGACAGCCTCGAAAACAATACAGAGAAACCCTGTCTCGTAAAAACCAAAAATAAAAAAAAAAGTCTGATTAGCTTTGAAACTCAGGCATCCCTTAATGATAGTGGATACAGAACAGAGACCCTGTGGTGGCTTTGGCCTGGATTATTCATTCTCCTTGGCTAACTGATGACATGTGCTTCTCTACAGGAGGATTTCATCATTTATCATTTCTAGTCTCTCCCACTTCCTATCCTTTCCAGTTCATGTTTCATGATGCCATTCCATGTTACACAGCAGAGCAGTTTTCAAGGATAATTGTGGAACATCGGTGGCCAGACCTCAGTTCTCTTGCTAGCACTACTTCATAATTTTATCACTTGTCTATCTTCCAGATGGGATGTATCTAGAGAAAGTGATTCATAGTTTTCCTACTCTTGTTCTAAGGTTGTGAATGTATAAAATCTGATTGTGCAAAGTCCTGCAATGTATTTATTTTGAACACAAGACTGTTGCCATTTGTTTAAAATATAGTATCATCTGAATTCCATACTAAAATGATGGATTATTTTGTAATGATTACTGATAATCATAGGATATTGGGTGAGATTTCTTTTTAAATAGTATTTTAAAGTATTTTTCCATAAAAGTAGGCTTTATTTTCAGATGCCAAAATATAAAACAAGAGCAGCTGAAGACTCTAAATTGCAATGAAATACCAAGCAGAAATGCTGACATTCATAGAGGATCTATGGGATCTAACCTATGGAGAGTTTATCCCATGTAGCTTCACTTATCGGTACTCATGCGATACTGGAACATTCCTGAAATAGCTTCATTTTTCCTAAATTCGATGCTAGAATACTTCTGTTGATGCTGTACTATCCAGAAAAATGGCTTAAAATCTTCTTTTGTTTCTAAAACTTTTGACCTCAGTGTTCCCTCAATGACTCTGCAGACTCTCAGCACAAGTGGTGACAGAATTTGGGAGATGGGAATTGTGATAATGCCAGTAGCTTATGGCAACTGTTGTGATATTTCTTTAATGTACCTTGGACTGGTTGGGATGAGCCTGTATTGCAGATCTCCCTAACCAAACAGAAGTGACCTTGGTAAAGAATTTATTATAGGATAACCCAGTCCTGAAAGGATAGAAGGGGGCATTGAAACTTGACTTCTTTCAAATTATGCCTGAATTTCATTTCAGAGAAGAAATGCTTATGGGATTATGGAGCACACGCTGAAGTATTAGACATAGCTGTCTACCTATACAGATGGCTCAAGGGAAAAGTCCTCATAATTACTTTTCTGTTTTTGTGTTTTTGGTTTTGCTTGTTTAGTTTTTTGGGCAGAACTCCTAAGCTGCTTTCTGTGGATGGTATAAGTCAGGCTGATGATTATTTGAAATGCCTCCTGCAATGCAGCCTCTAAAATTTCCACCAAACACTAAAAGCAGTACAACATTTAGAGTTCTGTCAAAAATGAAGGAAAAAAGATCACCATTGCCACAAGTTTTCAACTGTAAGACTAGTTGAGATGAATGAAAAATTAAAGTAGACCATGGCAGACATTTAGTCCCATGAAAGAGAAGTACTTCATCTACCAGAAACATGAGTCATCTCTTTCTAGTCCAATATTTACCCTGGACTCAAGAACCCTAGCAGGCTTTAGCATGTCTAAAGTAGCAAACAACAGCATCACCACCAACAAAAAAGCAATCAAGATGCACAGGGACTCCTTCACACTGAGCACTTGTTTTCTCAATCACTCATATGGAACACTAGAGAGGAGGCTATGGAAATGGCAGTTAGAGGTCCCTCATCTGATGAGTTCCTTACCTGCAAAGGTTTGGGGTGGGGACTGATTCATGACAAATCTTGATGGAAAAGGATACATGCAGAGGCACTAATATGTTCACATATTCTTTATAGTAGAGACAAGCCTAGGTGTTAGAATAAGCAAGGGCTTCACAGAAGAGGAAAGCTAAGATGAATTACTTTCCAAGGGAGCTTACCCATAAGAGTTATATCATCATAGCCTATAGTGGAAGAGCAAGCCTTCAGGTCTGAGGTAAAACTTCATTAGAGATAACCACTATATATAGCGTGATGAGTGTTCTACAGGGAGTATTTTATTAATTCTTTGAGAACTTCATAGAATGTATTTTGATAATATTAATTGCCCACCACCAACTCCTCCAAGGTAAAAAAAATGATTTTTACCCTTCTTGGGAGAAATGTCTTTTAGAGCCCTGCTCTATTCATTCTTAAGTTTACATTTAAAAAAAAGTGTTGGCAAGACCCCAACCCCAGCGAGTCCAGCTTCAGGTGAGATTGGGTCTCTGGCGGGGACCGCCCGCCCTTCCCCCATCCCCCTTGATCTTCGGGGCCGCCCGGCATCCAGAAGACCCGCCCACACAGGAAAGACATCAGCCCCTCCAAGACCCCAACCCCAGCGAGTCCAGCTTCAGGAAAGACATCAGCCCCTCCAAGACCCCAACCCCAGCGAGTCCAGCTTCAGGAAAGACATCAGCCCTTCCAAGACCCCAACCCCAGAGACCTGCCCACACAGCAAAGAAGTCAACAATTCCAAGACCCCAACCCCAGTGAGACCAGCTTCAGGAAAGACATCAGCCCTACCAGGACCCAAACTCCGTGTCAGCATCCCCAGCTTCAGCTGCAGGAAGGAAGGAGACCAGTGGAGACAGAAAGACCCCACCAGCACCCACTGAAAGAAGAGATGGGAAGAAGACAGAATAAGAGATCACTCAGCAATAGAAACACCAACATGACCCCACCAGAATCCAGGGATCCAACACCAGCAAGACCCGAAAAGCACTACATAGACGAAGAAGAGGAGACAGACCTTAAAAATTATTTCATGAAGATGATGGAGACCCTCAAAGAAGAAACGAGGAAATCCCTTAAAGAAATAGAAGAAAAAACAAACAAAAAAATCCATGAAATGGGGGAAAAATTCAAGAAATAAACAAATCTCTCAAAGAATCTAAAGAGCACCAAGAAAGAACAACCAAAAAAATGAAGGAAACAACTCAAACAGTTGAAGGATTGAAAGCTGAAATAGAAACGATAAAGAAAACACAGAATGAAGGGATGCTGGAAATAGAAAAGCTGGGTAAACGATCAGGAACTACAGATGCAAGTATCACCAACAGAATACAAGAGATAGAAGAGAGAATCTCAGGTGTTGAAGACTCATTAGAGGATATAGAGTCGTCAACCAAAGAAAATCTCAAAACCAACAAATCCTTAACACAAAATATCCAGGAAATATGGGACACCGTGAAGAAGCCAAACCTGAGAATAATAGGTATAGAAGAAGGTGAAGAAATTCAACTTAAAGGTACAGAAAACATATTCAACAAAATCATAGAAGAAAACTTCCCTAACCTAAAGAAAGATATGCCTATGAAAGTACAAGAATCTTACAGAACACCAAATAGGCTAGACCAGAAAAAGAAGTCACCTCGCCATAGAATAATCAAAACATCAAACCTACAGAGTAAAGAGAAAATATTAAGAGCAGCTAAAGAAAAAGGCCAAGTAACATACAAAGGCAGACCTATCCGAATTACACCTGACTTCTCAATGGAAACGATGAAAGCCAGAAGATCCTGGACAGATGTCATACAAACGCTAAGGGAACAAGGATGCCAGCCCAGACTACTATATCCAGCAAAGCTCTCAATTACCATAGATGGAGAAAACAAAATATTACATGACAAAGCCAGATTTAAACAATACGTATCCATGAATCCAGGTCTACAGAAAATGCTAGAAGGAAAACCTAGAGCCAAGGAAGATAACTATATTCACAAAGACACAGGCAATATATAATGACACTTTACAAAACACCAAAAGAAAAAGGGAGGAGAAACTACACAAAATAACTTCACTAACAATAAATCAAGCACAAGCAAGTATCACCAATCAATGGTCATTAATATCCCTCAATGTCAAC